CGAATAATATTATATTTGTATGTGAGTCATATTAAAAAATAGCCGCATTTTCTTCAAGGTAAATTACTATTTTCTATAAGGTTCATAAAAAAAAATGACATTCTCACAAAAGAATAACTTCGGAGAATATCGTTTGTAAAGAAAGATCGTAGCGCGCTTGATCGAATATATGCGAGTATGGCAAAAGATCGGAACTGGTTTTTAATACCCTCGACTATATCTCCTGGAGCAATGGTCCGATATTGCATCGAGCAAACATCCACAAGCCTCGATCGTTCTCCCCATTGGTCTCTTTCCTTCGATCCTTTCTTTTACTCTCTCACAATTCTAGTGTTTACACGCAAAAAAAAAAGAAAGAAAGAAAGAAAAGGTAAAAGGAAGATGTCGAATGTACTACGACATTACGCATATTTTTTTTCAAAGCCTTGGCACGATCGTTGTTGACGGGTCTCGGTCGATGTTTAATCGAGCAACTAAATGAGATCTAATAAATCGTCAATTATATACGCTTACTTCTGTTTTCGCGTCTACATATTATATTCGTTCGGTCACTCGTACGATAGTATAGATTAAGTGCACGTAAAATCGAAAATAAAAAGCTTGCAGCAGCTATATGGTAGGAAAACACACGCGAAATAAATTTGAATGCAGATAGAGAGATAGAGAGAGAGAGAGAGAGAGAGAGAGAGAGAAAGGAAAATGGATTCTTTTTTGCCTACAAAAGCGACTATGCTAACCCAAAAGGCTTAATACTCGGACAAAGTTGATCGTCGTTAAGTATCGTTTCGATTACCGATCACCTGAGACTGGCACTTCCGAACGTAGACGAGTTCAAAGCAGTTTTGAAACTTTGTACCATACACCAATACCGCATTGCCATATTCGCCCTTTCAACGGACTTACTCCTTTATTCCTAGACGTAATATTAACTCAACGAGAGTACAACCATCACTTTCTTTACTCTTTTCTTTCTATCCGCAAAACTTAAGAAGAAAATAAAAAAAAAAAAGCACGAAAGAGCGTTGCATTAGAGACACGTTTCTCCGGAAAAGCTAGTCTTTAAAAGTCTTCTACTTTTTTTTCTTCCCATTTGGAAAAAAATATGTGTGCTTCATTTTTGAAATATGTAAAAGGAAAAATGTTAATAGAAAAAAACCGATCAATTGATTTGTCGGAAGGGGTCAGTAACCCTCAACCTTAACAATTAAACCGAGTCTTACAAAATTAAGGGATGAACATTTGCAAAAGTAAAATATGCATGTGTAACTACGTGTATATGCATTCATTCATTCATTCGGGAATCACGCCGATCGATCGATGTCCATCGAGTTGATTCGCTTCAATGCCCATGAGCAAAAAAAAAAACAAAAAAATGGGAAAAAAGTGATACGTCTAATTTATTAATTTTTCCCTCGATACAATCAAAAAATTAGTCACGGTCGTATTCCCATTTTTAAATAAATACAAAACGAGCACGATTTACTTAAACATTTTAATTAACTATCAAACTTCTTCTTCTTCTTCTTCTTCTTGCAAATAATTTGAATTATACTGTCAGCTTTCGTGGCAATGTAATAATAAACAAAAGCAGATACATTAAATTGTTAATGATATTTTTTCTTTTTCTTTTTCTCTATGTATCTTAAATAAATATTTGAGGTAATAGCAAAAGATGTATATTTATTGCAGAAAATGCATTAATGACAATATCTTGATCAATATCTCAGTCATATTTGTAGATCCGGTTGAACGTGAATCTGGAAATGGATGAAGGAAAGAACCGTCGCGCGAGTTTCTTCGGTTATCGTTCATGCGACGATCGAAAATATTCCGGTGTTACTAAAAATAACAATTCGTCCTTCGGTCGTAGGATTTGTTTATCAACAAATTTATATCGCATAAACGTCTAAGTTGTTTTTCAACAGGCAGAGTGAAAATAAAAATTGCGCGTACAAAAAATATTCTATTATACTTTATTATATAATACTCTTCTACCATATATATATATTACGAGAACTGAGAATTGGAAAAATTCGCAATATTTTCAAGAACGGAAAAGAAAGCTCGTTTATTAATCAATAAACTCGTTGTTATCTGTTAAAATAAATAACACAAAAGTGTAACTTGTTTATAAGAAAAAGAATACGTTTGTAAAGTTAAAAGCATAATAATAAGAAATAAACTTACGATTCGTAAGTAATAGATCTAATTGAAGAGGTACTCCTTCTTCCCTCCTCGTCTGTTATTTCCAAGCTCCAGGATTCGCAGAGTTTCGCGCTCGTCGAAGATCGCAGGGCGATCTTTGACGAGTTACGATTCTGCTTCCTCTTCTTTCTTTCTTTTATCTGTTTCCTTTAGAAACAATGACACTTCTCTTTCTCTTAAGAAGTGATTTCACGTACGTTTCTCGTAAACGTCAAGACACAAAGATATCAATTTGTATAGTAAACAACGGGTAAAAAAAAGGTATGCCCAGGTATACACAAAATAAATGAACTTCTCGTTTCTTGTATAACACTTTTTATTGGATAGACGAAAGATCACGTTCGTGATAAATAACCGACGCGACGTTTATATATTTACGAATATGTTTTAATATATATATATACATATATAAATGTATAGAAGACGTAAGAAAGAAGAAATGTGTTGATACGTCCGATCGGTTCTAAGTCTCGCACGATTCTGAGAACGCGCGTTCCTTCGTTTTCTAGCGTGTTAGCGCGCGGAGTTTGCGCGCGCACCTAAACCCACGATGTCCCCTCGACCAATCATCAAGTCCATCCAGTACAGGACCGATTTCTTCAATTCCGATCCAAGAGTAATACAATAGTTAAGATACTCTTGCCACAAGTGTCTTTCTTTTTCGTTACGACACAAACAATACCTACCTATGGACATAAAAAAAAAAACGAACGAAAAACAAATGACTAAAACTCAATTGTACAAAAAAATATAGGTTTGTAATTTGAAAAAGCTGTTCATTGAAGCATTAAAATTCCATCCACGTAACTTCTGTTCAACAAACATTTTCGTTTACGTCGGTTCCCTTTATTCCGTTGCCGTCTCTCTTAACGTTGCAATGCTGCACGCGCTAGGGTAGCAACGTGTCCGAACCTATCCATAATTCACACCGCGAACGTCGACGAATGATAAAGTGACATTGTGTAATAAATTTATCTAAAGTTTCAACGAAAGGGATTACGCGTAACAAGATTCTCTAATCGAGTTAATTTGTAATTAACGAACGACTTGAGATTTGATTGGTTCTCTATAGAAAAAAAAAAAAAAGAATTATTATAAAAAAAATGAAAAATGTATATATGCGCACCTATCCAAAATCTTCGAACGCACGCGATTTTTTGTCAACGAAAAATAAATTTCTCTCTTTGCGACAAATTTACAATGAAAGTACGTGAAACGAATATGTGAAATTCGGTTTTTATTTCTGTGTTTTTTTTTTTTTTATTAAGTATTCATAGAAGGTATCAAGGAATAAACTCGAGCTCGTGCACGGACCTTCGTAATGGAATAAAATTCTATCTAATCGACCGTAAAATTTCTTTTCGGGCCGTTACGCGTTCCTGAACAAATTTCGGAAAAGAGATTAAACATTAAATATACAACATACACACAGATGTTCGATCTAAGAATATGTTTCTGCTACAGGATATTGCGTTTAGTCTAGTCTCGAACAATTGGCCGATACATTTAAAAAATATTATTGTCAACATGTGTGAGACCCCTACGTGAATCAATTTACGTTAGGACAGCTAAACCTTAATTGTACTTGTTGCTTTCGGGGTCAGGTTCGTACTGGCTCTGAATTTGGATTCTTGCCAAGGCATTGACAAACATTCACGTTCGTCGTTTCTACTTCTAAAAAAACTTTTTCTCTCTCATCCGTTTACTACTATTTTATTCTTTTAATGTAAAACAGTATCCAAAAAAATATTAAGAAGTATGTTATAGGTTTAGCAATAAGATATATCAAAACAATAATGATTACCTGTTTCATCTAACGAATATTAGCTAAAATGACTCGTACTTTCTCACATTACTCGTGAAGAACTTGTCCTATAGAAAATAAGTGAACTGCCGAATAGAAACAAATTGAATGCAATCAATGCCATAACTTCGAATTAATGATACGAATTGTGTATACAGAATTCCGATATTGAGTAGAGTGCACTACGCTTAAACTAACAAAAACAACATGACATCGTGTCTCTTTCGAGCGAACGAGCCAAAAACAATAAATTCTATCATAGCTGCGATATTATACGCAAAGGTATCGATAATTTCGCGTTCCACCTAGTAATCCCCGTCTTTCTCAACGTCTTATGAATGATTCTTTATAAATGATCTTGATCGTAGATCAAATGAATCAATCACTTTTTCTATTCGTTTTCGTTCGTTCGTTCGTTCGTAATCTTACTTTTTGCTTTTAATTACATCTCGACCAGTTCAACGTTTTTCTTGAAATTTAAGGAAAGCGCGGGCGTGCGCCAGCAAAAGAGAAAATGAATAGAAAGAAAAAGAAAGAGAGAAAGGAAGCGCCATCCTCCTCTATTGATCGTCGGTGGCCATCCAAGATGGCGCCGAAAGTGGCGTTCGCGCTCAGTCTGATCTTCGTCATCGGACACTTTAAGGAAGGGCAGACATCCCTAACCAAGACTTTCACGTTTCCAGAGTACCCCTACAAAGAGACTACCAAGAACGTAAGTCCCTCTTATCGTACGTCTATTTCCGCCTCTTAGATATCCTGCAGAACGCTGATACAGGTTATAGCAGTGGCAACTATCACTTAAAAGGTGACGCTTTTACGATGCTGCATGGCCGGTAAAGATACATATATATGTATATATATATATATAGGGAGAAAGAGAAAGAGGGAGGGTAAAAACTTTACGCTAATCCGCAGCTTGCAGCTCCCTCCTATTAGATATGTCGAATCTTTCTATCTTAACGCGTGTAATCCTTAAATAAATATAATCCTTCGGCTAAATGTAACGTTTGTCTGATATTTCCGCGTACTTAGTACAATAGATTATCTTTAACGTTAAAAATAAATATGATAGAATGAATGACGCTTTCTTTCGTAGGAATTCCTCTTCCGACAATTCGAGCAAGCTTGCGAAGAGAGCGGCGCTTGTAAAATGTTATCGCAACAGGCGAGCAGTGTCGCCAAAACACGATGCATCCGGGAGTGCGTTTCTCCTTCTTGCTATAAAGAAATTTATTTGTTCGATCAGGTATATTCATCATTAAATTCAATTACATTATTATTAATATGATATAATATTATAGACGTAAAGAAAAAAAACAAGTCACATATCTGTAAACACAAAATATTTCTTCAAAGTATACCACTCGTTTTAGCTGGAGGAGGGAGAAATCGACGTCAGGTTAAATTCATTTAAGGGCTGTTTTATGCAACGTAACGGACGTCCGCGCAAATAAATAAGCCATACCTTTCGACCAATTGAAACGTCGATGTATTTATTGCTAACTACTATCTTGGGAAAGTCAACCTTCGTTCTGCTTACGTTGACGACGAACAAGTGGAGATTGGAGAAGAAGATCCAGCTAAAGAATACAAAAAAAAAAAAACCGTCTTACACACATCTTTGACGACGACATTTAGAGATTCGACAATTAGATAATCTTTTTCTACTTTTTGTATGCACAAATAACTTTAATACCAATAGAATATTGCACAGCATATTAAAAGAAAACAAAAAAAAAATATTGAAAATCCTCACCTTCCTCGCATCCAATGATACGAGTTGACGAAATCTTGTAATTTTTGAAGAAGGATAACTAAACAAACATAATGAAATAAATATTGTAACGATTTAGTAATAATATGTGAATGTTATATTAAAAATATATACAAGCGATACGATCTCACCGCATGATACAATTTCGAGGACGCTTCGTCTTCGTCTTTCGATTGAAGAAAATTCACATATTCTGATAATTGTTCCATAGTTTCATCAAATGGTGATTTAAACAAGGATCTTGAGTTAGCCGGTACTTCGTCGTCGCCATATATCTTTCGAAATCGAAGCCAAGTGGTGACGAATTGAAGAAAATGTGAAGATAAAGATCGAGATTTTGCTATTCCAATGACGAGGTCGTAATTACTAATTGCTGTACATAGATAATACATCAGGGTCTCTATTTTGACGTGGCAAAATTGGAGAACGTCAACTAGACATTGATAAACAATCTCTCTTTCCGCTGTAGTACTCTACCATGAAAATGATCAAAGGGTTAAATTGACTGATTTATCCTTTATGATTTTCGTTTACAATACCTTTACGCTAACTCACCTTTGAATGAATAACATGAAGCATCTCATAAATATCTAGGATCGTTACCATTTCATTTCTACCTGCTGCGTTAAAGGAAACATCTTTCAATGTTACAACCATTCCTGAATTGTTTTGGTTCAATAACTCGTGTAAAAATTCAAGAGCATTCGGACAAACGAGTTGAGACTTTTGACAGATCCATAAAAGAACACGTAGATGATTCATTTCGATCGTTATAGGTTTATCACACTGTAAACAAAAAATCCCTTACGTTACTTTTCTTAATCCCAAAATATTCTTTTTTCTTTTGCAGTAGTCGATTATTATTTATCATTGTTTTTTCTTACCTCGATCGAAGATAGCGATTGAAAGTGGATAATAAAAGTGAGGAATTTGAAGGAAATTGCAGATAACGTTAACTCGTTTTCAGAAAACGCATAATCATGTAATTTCTCTAATAATCTTGTCTCATTTACGTATTTTGAAAGAACTGTCAAACGTAAATGTTTTCTTTTAATTAAAGTCTTTATTTAAGTATTATATATTTCTATATCATATATTCTGTTTTACAATTAGCTAAATTCTTTCGGTGCAACTCACTTTTGAAGTAATTGTGTTCCATACAAGCAACAAGTATGGCATACGTCTGCTTTAAAAGTAACTTCTGGAAACATGCATCTACATCTTCAGTTAATATCATTTTGATGAGAGCATCCGCGCATACTTTTATCGTATTTTTTGGTAAATTACGGGGTTCCGACATATTTGATAATTCGAGCACTGCTTTAATATGCTCAACTATAAATAATATTGTAATATGTTAATATGGATGTTACGACAATAGTTTTTACAGAAAGTATAAACTGAACGTTTTGAAATTGAATACTTCGATTTGGACCATCGGATAATAAGACATTTGGTAACATGTTCCAAACTATATCAGCGATCTCGTCGCAATTGCTAGTCTGCATCGATTGATGTATTCCTTTAACAGCTAAGCTAACTACCTCACCGAGGCCATTTTGTACTGTAATCTATGTTTAAAAGGTTATTTATATAGTGAGCGAGATATGAAATGTATAGATTTAAAGAGATGCAACTGTTCAAAATTCATTAAATAATATAATGAAAGGAGACGTTGCATGTACCAATAAACAATGTTTAACGACGCTGTGACAATCGAGCTTCAAAAGAGGTAGAACATCCCCATCGGATTCTATTAACCACATATTTATTACTCTGTATCGCAAATCGTTCGTTATCTCTGGACATTTTAAACAAAAATGTAGGAGCTCAATGTGATGGGTATAATATTGACTTAATTCCAAATATTGTAAAGCCATTGTTAATTTTTTCACTGCATTTTCGTATTCAAAATTTTCTCCCGGTGATGGGTGAGACAAAAATGAAACCTAAAGAATAAATCTTTTAATAATAAAACAAGACCAAACCTAGCGCTTCGAATAAAGTTTTTAATCTTCCTAGTAGAAAGAAATAAACTCACAGCAAATAAAAACCATAATGGCTTTAGAGTTGGTACAGTTATCGATCCAAGATCTTCTAGATCTAACAATCTTTTTATCAGAGATTCGAACGTAATCATATCAAGTCTGAAATAAACAAACGATAACCGATCTTCAAAAATGGTTTTTTTACACGAAAGAAAATAACAAGAAAAATAACTCACTCCCTGGTGGCATGATAATGATAATAAAAGGAAATCATTAAAGCTGTGTTACGATCATCGGAAATTGCAACTATATCGGTCCACTGCTCAACATCGTTAGGTAGAGAAACAAGTCCATCGAATATCTTACTTGAAAATACATTGACACCTTCGGGTAATTTGTCGATCGATAAAGAATTTTCTGCTAAAGTGATTAATGTCCGCGTCAATAAGATGCATATATTTCGTCGTTGATGTAATCTAAAGAATTTTATTATCGAAATAAAAAAGAAAAAAAGCATTAAATATTTACAAAAGCAAACACCTTTAATAATTAATTCTATTAGAGACTTACGGAAGTTGCGCGCTAAGACGTAAGAAATATTTAAGATAACCGTTTGCTACTAAATGATTAGCTATATCCTCTCGTTTGAAATCTCTTATATTATACATGTTACTCAAACATGAAACAAAACTAGCGTAACATTTAAGAGAATTCTCTTGATCAAAGGACACGTTCTATTCGTCAGTAAATACAAAATATACGTTTATTTAATACATAGCTTTTTAATTAAACTCATATTTAATGTATTTCCCTTACTTTAACATACGGCATAATGGTATAAATGACGATTGCATAAATAGACTTTGCGAGAGATACTTTGCCTTGCATTGGAGTCATATTACCACCCTCGTCAACATCCGTCAGATGATCTTTGTCGCAAAATCTACAAGATATAACATATTTATATTCCGTCCTAAGCAATTAAAGTTGAAATTTACCTAATGCTGGTAGCACAAAGACAGCATAAAGCGACAATAGCGTTCTTCTTCGAATAGCATTCATATTCTTGTTCGTAATCATGTTCTACAATATCTTTCATCGATTTTATCGACTCGATGCAAACATCGAGAATCAATCTCCCATTTTCGTTTTCATTCTCGTCCAACGTTACGGATTCGAGTGTGGTATTTAAAATGTCGATAATCATAAACTTTAATACACGGGATAAACATTTTTGGCTCAAGTTCTTAAGAAAAGAAAACATTTGATTGATAGAGCATACGCTATCGATTTCAATTCCTAACTTTCTCGCGCTGAAAATATAGAAAATAATTTCGAGTACTTTTCTAAAATAAAATGCGTTTCTAATAAGATACATAAATATTTACGTACTTGAATAATATATTACGAATAGCAGAAAGAAGCTTTTCCAAAGGACATATTTGTATATCGGTGGACATTTCGATGTAATGCGCAAGATGAAACAAAGAACTAACAGCTTCCACAGCGACTTGATTTTCATAAAACTTTTGATATTCGCTTACTAAAGCCAAGCATTCAAAAGCTGAACTATAAAATATCGACAAAAGTAATAATATATCGATCATTTAGTTAATTCTAAAATAAAAAAAAAAAAAAAAAAAAAAAACTAATTTGTAAGTATTTTACGTTAGAAGTGGTTCTCGAAAAGTCTTTAAAATATCGCACAGAGTCGAGATTATATCAAATTTAATAAGCTTCGTGAAAATATTGCTCCGAATGTCCGAGACTTGAGTTTTTAAAAGTTTCGCTAGTTGTTCAAGAGCAGACATTTGCGATTTCTCGTTCGGAAACGTTAAATTCCCTTTTATTTGTGGCAACAAATGATCCAGATTTTCAGGCTTCAATACAAATAATTCTTCCATTTTCAATTTTTGCGCTGTCATATTACGTATACATATTATTAATTATTCTCCATACATAATCACAATTGAAAGAATATTTTTTAAATATGTTACATACCTGTTTACATACCCGTGAACGAAATGCGAAAGTGTTATAATATTATTACGTACAGATAACGCTACTTAATTTGTACCGAACAAGCACCGATCTCTGCAAAGTTTCTCATATAGGGTGCCACGAAAAATATACTTACGAATCTTTCGAAGCAGATACAAACTCGATCCTATAATAATCACGAAAAATCCTAACACTATTACTATTGTTCTATTAAAAAATAACTTATTTAATCAATAATATTGTTAATAAAAGTATATTATAATTAAATGTGTTACGATAAATACATAATAGAGATGCATTTTACCTGTTACTTCATTTTGTTTCTCTAATAAAAAAAGATACTCGATCGGAATAGTATATTTATTTCCAAGTTTATAACTTTATATCATTATATGTTTATGACAATTTAATTGAAGATAATTTAACTTTTAATTAAGATGACATTAGAAAAACTGCTCTACTGGAAGTTCTCGATGATACTAATACATTACTCGTACAAGCAAAGAAGCTGATTGGTTCTCCGAAAGATTTCAAATCACAAATTTTCGCGCAAAATTTAAATATAGGTAAAGTTTTTCTACGAAAATTTCTCGAACTCGAGATAAATGTTTGAACTATTATTTAAAAACAAAGTAAAAATGATTCTTACCATTGTTTGGTTAGATATTTGCGCATTTATTACACGTTGAAATTATTCTAGAGCGTGACACAAACGCGTTTGAAATGAAAACTGTAGAATCGATAAAAGTACAAAAAATTTGATGGCATAAATATCGATTTAAAGAAAAAAAAAAAATGATTGAAGAATTTTTATTATCGTTCCATTTAATAATATCTGATTAGTATTAATAATATTAGCAGTAATATATTTTCTGCATACGTATAATATTGCATAAAATATCACATATTACATCCAAATATAAATAAGAGATATAGCGTATACAAAGTGCATCGACTTTTTATATTTTGTTCTCTTCTTGTTCTAAAAGGTGCAAAATATATTTGACGATATATAAAATAAATATATGAAAATATCTTTAATTTCTCTATCCTGATATTGTTACTAAATATTACTTGTCGTGTACACATTGGACATTATAATAATTACGACAATAATTTATGATTAAGAAACTGGATGCAAGAATGGTAATGCGAAATTTGTGTATTAAATTTTCATAAATACATTCTATATAACTAAAAAGGCAAATATTTAATAAGATTATAGAGATTCGTGTTTTATAAAGGTGATTCTAAAAAACAAATCGATATAAACTAACCTTTTGTAAAAAAAATATATTTGTAGTCTAAATGTCAGATATGCTCGAGCGACAATCAACACTGTGTTTCAGTCTTTCGTACGATTAGGAGATCATTTGTTCATCCTATTTATTTTAAATGATTGTAAACAATTCTAAATGAAATATAAATACAAAGTACATGTACCATTTTTGCAAGCAGTCTTTCGAATAATATTCGGAAATTAATACTATTTATATATAATTTCCATCTTTGTCATCCATAGCGTATGTAAATAAAAGAGATATATTCATTTCTTAAATCTGTAATACTTCATATTAAATATTATTGGAATATATTATTTTAAAGCAAATCATTTTGCCAAATAAATTTCCAATTCTTAGCTGTAATATAAATATATGTCAAGATAGGTCACTGCTTCTTCTATCCTAATAACTTTACTATTACCGTGCAGAAAATGATAGTATTGAGTGAAATATAACGAATTGGAAATATTCATATTTTTGGATCGTAAATAAAGAAATATAGCACATATATATAGCACTGACCTATCGAATATACGATAGAGAGAATTCCTCATATAAAAAAAAGAAATATTTATTTTAATTTCTATAAGTTATGATTTCTCTCATACTATAATTTATGTTTGTAGCGCGATATGATAAAGAATTATTAAATATATTTAAATATATATTATTCATTCGTAAAGAGAAAGAGATCGAACATTTTAATCGATATATAGTATACACAAGAATGTCTTGCATTGGATGGATAAAAGAAGAAGAAAAAGTTTCATTTTATTTTGTAGGTTTGGTAGTTTTTCTTTTCCATCTTCATAAAAAGTGTCCTCTTACTTTCATTAGAAAAAGTCTTATTAAACAAGGCATGTTAAATTATTATTTCAAATAATATAACAAATAATAATTAATTATTTATAAATATTTTGTTCTTCTCAAATAATTATCTACATAGTAGATCGTGTACTCAAACACGTGCAATTTCATATAATTTCCTTAAAATACTTTCATCTTAAATCAATCGTACTTAAATCAATAAGTACACGAAGATATGATGTGTATGTATATAAAACTCGAAGTCAAATGCGCAACAAATAAATGTCAATTTAAATTTTTTGTAAATATTTAAAAATTATGCTTCTCTTAAGTACTTCTACTATTATAGATATATATATAATACTACTATTATATATGTAATAGTTACTATACTTTTTATCTGAGTTAATCTTTGCATTGCTTTCCTTTAAATAATAAAAATATAACAAAAACTGCATAAAATTTGCAAAATTATAACATATTAACTAATCCACAGATCGCAGTTCAATTGTACTCCAACGAAATTGTTTCTGGAAAGGTTTTTCTAAAATATTTGTCGGATAATTAGTATTCTTCTGAAGGAATGTTATCGTTAATATGTATTTTCCATTGCCACTTGTATATATGATATTTTGGAAAACAGTATCATTACATTTTCTGCTTGTGCATACACAATACATATGCATTTACACGTTATATATCTATATATGCACACATTGAAGTTGTTTCAATATAAATATATATATTGAAAGAGAGAAACAGAGAAATGATGTATGCGCGGATACACAAGCATACATTCGATACAATCATATGTGTCATATTTACCTTATATGTATTTACATGTATTAGATATTTGTGTGTGTCACGGTCATATATCCCAATTACACGGTATATAAGTAGGCATCTAATTTCTTTTTTGTATTTGGAGGCGAAGTAAAAGGAGAAAACCAAGCAATAGAAAATCTGCCAAAAACGGCCTGGATGGATTTCCATCTGCTATTACGAACCCATCGTGCTTCCTCTTTTTTAAGTTGTTCTATACCCTAGAACAAATTGAACAAATTGCTAAATAGTAAAGCCGTTGACAATATGTGTACGTACTTACAGTTTCATCATTCCAAATAGCTTGTAGCTGCGATCCCAACATTACAGCTGTAAAAATGGCAAATAAAAGTGCTTCAAATGCTAGAAATAGTAAAAGAACGACAGTAGCGGGAGGACTAAATGTCGAGCATTCTCTCCATTCTTGTCTTACACACGTTGTAAATTGTTGTATACACAAAAGAAGAGACTGCAGTGATATACCTGCTATGTAAAACTGAAAATTCATCATATATTTCTCATTTTTTTTGACCTCGTCTTACAGCATACTTCATTTTTAAAGAAGAAAAATGACTTACGGTAAACAATACAAAATATTTTTGATTATTTTCACCGACACAGTTATTTACCCATGGACAATGATGATCCATTTTTCTAATACATCTAAAATTATATCCATTATTTCTATACATCTCTTAAAACCTAGCTAGTACTTGAGTAAAATTAGTATTTATATTAATTTACCTTTGACAAACTGAACAATGATGAGCTCTATCCGGCTTTATGGAACAACACTTTGGACATTTAAAGATAACCTGACCTTCTTGGAATCCCATTTGTTGTATCATCTTTTTCGTTGCATTACCCTTCGGTACGGCACCCTACAAAATACTTCATTATTATCAAATTACATCGTAAACAGATCTTCTTACTTACTGGATCTGTAAACATTGTCCTTAAATGAGAAGCAAATGCCAAAAATGCTAATGATTGAAACACTGCCATATTTAGGCCTGAATACAAAGTATTTATAGAAGGGATAAGAATAACAGCCATAACTACAAATTCCGCATAAATGATTAGCAACCATGTTAGAACCGCGCATATAATTCCGCAAATATCCTATGATAGAAGAATGTCAATAATATGATTAATTAATATTGTTAATAGAAATGTGTTGATATACTCTTCTCAAAAGATAATACCTTAATGCACCAAAACTTTCCACCGCAACACTTATTATGTATACCTTTCTCCCTATGGAAGGCTACGTAATCATAAACCATAATTGAAAAGTTCGTTAAAGCGGCAAACTTCGTTCCACTTGTAAGAAAGTACCGATATAATATTTGAATGTAGAAGAAAAAGCCATAACTGCGAAGAAAGTATAAACATTGGTATATCTTATGGCAGCACGCATATGCTTAATATCTCGTTAAAGTTATTTAAAAATGCATAACAATAAGAAGCAATTTAATGGCAATTATTGCAATCTAACCTAACAAATGAATGTCATCATTGCTTGAAAAATTCTCTAAAGATCCAAAAGGAAATGGATGATTTGATTTTATCCCTCATTCTTTTTCTACGCGTTTACCTTATGGTAGCAATAAATTAATGATAATGATCACTATCGTTTTTCTTTCACCGTTATAAACGCCATCAACCACTTATTAATAAAATGCATGTAACACAAGACGAAGGATCAAACATTTGATAATACTCCATTTTATTTCTAAATCAAGAGTCACCTAGCGCTTGAGAAAAGAAAACTAATACGTCGAACGATCGAAGCGCCACTTGATACGTATTCAAAAGCGCGCCACTTTCAAACCAGAAGAAATAAAGTGTTTTACAATAGCAACATTTTATAATACAATATAATTTGTATTTGAATTTTTTCTATTAGATAATTAGAAAGCACAAGCAAATTATATAATAGATGTAAAATGAAATTATGTAAATAAATAATAATAATAATAACGTCGTTTCTATATGACGAATATAAAAGGAGAACGACCTGCCGGTCGCGCAGTAGATATATTGATTTATTTGTAATGAAATTTCTTGACCAAAGGGCAATATCTTGTAATACCTCTTGCAATATCTTGACCAAAAGGCAGTTAAAGTTCTTGCCCTGAATCACGCATATTTCCGCAAATGAATGCTTTGAAAGGTAAGGATCAAGCAACGCTGGAATCGAGAGGATGCATGATGTAAGATGCACGCATTACCTTTCGAGCCAATATTCATATATGAAAGTGCACAACGCACGCAGCGAATTCAACTTTTTTATTCTAATTTTGAACATTCTATTAAAATTTAGGCAAGCTAAGAAAACGACATTATTATATCTCTTGTTTTTCTAATAATAAGAGAAAGTTTGAATTTATATATCTTTGTTTAAAAAAAAAAAAATCTAAGCGTTAACATTAACAATCCTTTTAAAAACAATTTCAAAAAATGAAAATATATGTTGCGAACGACCAACGTCTATCGATGGAACGTAAAAGAATTGATCGATTCGTGCTGGGTCGAGTACATAAATGCGTGAGTGAACGAAGGAGAAACAGAGAGAGAGAGAGAAAGAAAAAAAGAAAGAGAAAGAGAGAGAATCAATGATTACGTAAGACGAAAGTAATTCTCTGGAGAAGAGTAAAGAAGGACGTTAAAGATGTGGTGGCGAAGAAGGAAGAGGAGGAGGTGTTGGAGGAGAAGGGCATATGTGCAGAACTGAGGCAATGTCATCGAACTTACATAATATGTTTATATGTACGTGTGTCGTCTTACTTGAATTTCTACCTACCTTACTACTACCTATGGTCCGATGCAACGTGCATCTGGGTCATATAGTTTTACTCTCGCCGAAAAGATGCTGGACATTTTTTTTCTCTCTCTCTCTCTCTCTTTCCCGTAAAAAATCGTAGTATATCCAAAGAAATGATGTTTCCTTAAACATTACCTAATCTCCTCTTTTTCTATCCGCACTAATGAGCTGTAATGTCTTTTTCAGGCATATAAAAGAGATGTTTTTAACGAAACAAGGAAAGTTTTTCTAAGAGGATGACTTAAGGCGCGGCGGCACTCGGACATTCTTTTCGCGAGGGATGGTACGAACGATGGCCAGGTGAGAGGTAGAAAGCGAGGAAGAAAGGTAAGAGGTACGAAGAAGACTCGGAAAGGAACGATCATCGAGAGACGGCAGTGCATCGGGTGCTTCGCAGTGGACGGACGATGTCGGTCCTACGAGACATTTGAGACGCATGATAACGTCACGCAAAAATGCCGATCATCCAGCTTCTTCTATGTAAGTCTATCAATAATAAATCACATTCTTCGAGGTTCCTTTTTCCCCTTCTCAATAACATTCAAATTTTTTTAACGAAACTTCACGCGCTTCGAGAATATTGTTCCTGCATATATTCGCTTTGTCATCTTATTAATTTTCTAACGACAAATCGAAATCAAGATGATGATGGGCTTTATAAAATGAATACATAATATTCTATCGGTCTTATGCTTCTATTTTAATACTATAGCCTTACGCAACATCCTTTCACGAACGGTATTTGTTTCGAATACGAATCAATAACGAGCACGATAGTATGGGAAAGCAATCTTTCCATTATCTTCAATCGATTTGATTTCATTATAAATTAAATTCAATCCATGCAGAAACTCGTTATCACGCTGTTTGGGAGGGGGTATTCGGAGAAAAAATTAAAATAAAATATGAAAAATAAATTAACTTATATAGAAAAAAAAAAAACATAATTTATTGTTGCTTGTCATTAAAAAGATACATTTGGTAATGTAATGATCGTGATATATCGAATAAGTTAAGTAAATTTTATTCTACGTGGAAGGCATATAAAATTCAAACGATCTTAACTGGTAACGAAGCGTGCATCATTATTTCGGCACATTACTTTCTTTCTTCTAAAGAAAGGATTAAAATGTCCTCCCGGAAGGAGATCGTCTATACTTTGTTAGAGAAAATTTGTGCCTTGCGGTTGGGACATAGCAAATAGTGCACCAGTACTTGGAAGTTAAATTAACGCTATTAATTTGAATCAGCGAAAGTTCTCTCTCATTTCTTTTTATTTTTATTCACGCCTCAATGTGAAACAATCTTTAGATTTACTTTTACAATTAGTAGAGAGACTTTAGAATTATTCTATAAGAAAAAAAAAAAAAAGAATAGTGTAGTAATAGAAAGAAAATTGAATTGTACATAGAAAGCAATCATAGAAATATTAACGAACTGATAGGTATATATATTTATGTATAATGAACAAGTATATTACTACTTTTTATTAGAAAATATAATACATAGATTTCATTCATATTCCTTACAAATAGATCTCGTGACCGTAGTCTTGTGCAACGTTCACGGTAGTCTTGAGCATGAAATCCCACGGAGAAGTTTCCTGTCGCGCAGAGCAATTGATGGGACTAGAGGAAGGTTCGACTATCGAATAATTAATTTTGAACGATTATAATATCGATGGAAAAAATTATAAACAATTAATTAATTAAACTTTAATGATCCGACAGAAAATATTTCGATCCCGAGGAAGAGGGTACCTTCGATAGCTATGGATCAGCTGGTGGCCAATATGATCGATATAAAGATAAACAAGGTAACGCGTAATCGGTATAAATTAATATTACTAAAAATGACATTTGCTACTGATCTCGCGATGCAACTTGAATACTTTCGCAAATATTCATATTTCTTGTTATTTTTCTTTCTATTTCTATTTTAGATCATAGTGACATCAGGATGAATGTCCCAGGTGAACCAGAGATCGATTATCCAGCTTACACTACATTACCGCAGACAGGTTTTTCGTGTGAAGGGCGTTCACGCGGTAAGTTGCTATATTTAAACATTATGGGTAAAATGAATGACTATAGAAAAACAGCATCGTGCTAATAATTATTGCTGCGTATCGCTTAAAAATCTTTGTCACCTTTAGCATAATCGATGTCAAGGATGACATATACTTATACGTATATACATATATACGTTCGTTTCTAACGTAAGACGAATGACTACGACGATTCTCTTATGTTAGAATATTTTCTTTGCTTTCGCAATAGGTCAGCATGTTTCAAACGTTCATATAAAGCTAGTATTAATGACGTACAATATAGCGAAAAAATGTGTGTATAAAAGAAAAAAAAAAAAAAAGAAAAAAAAAATGCAGTAATAAAGTAATATATTATTGGATGTATTTTTCTTCAACAGGATATTATGCGGACGAAGTAGCTGGATGCCAAGTATTTCACGTTTGTCACGACATCTTGGTTTCCTCGTTCTTGTGCCCGATTGGATCCATCTTTAGCCAAAAGCTTCTCACTTGCGATTGGTGGAGTAAAGTTGATTGCTCGACGACTCGAAAATTTATTGAAACAAATCACGATAATCATTATCAAGAAGACGACGACGAATTGATACGCAAAGCTTACGGTATGATGGGTCTGCAAACTGGAACGGATGTTGCCAGTGACGAATTAGTGGATCCTGATAGAGGAGGAAAGATCATCGATTACATTACGATCGATTCCACTAGGAATGATTTGCCAATTTATCGTAATGATTTTCCACGAGAGAAAAATCTTCCCAATCAATTTTTTTCTACTTACGAAGAACATTCAGAAAGAACAAATCCAATTTATACTAATTCTTTTTATAATAAAAATTATTTCGATCGAGCGTATCATGATTCGCCTATAATTCGTATCGAAAAAATTGGAGAAGAAAATTATCGAGAAAGAGAATCAGGTAGATACGATTACCAGGATATTCGAGACAAATTAGGAAAACGGATAAATGAGTTTCAACCGTCGTATGCACCAACCGTACCGACTGTAACTACTACCACAAGGAAATTGTATTCGCCTACAATACCGACGACTAATAGACCATCAACTTTAGTTTATAACAGGTTCGATCAAGACATCGAAAGTTCCGATCATCTTTACACACACAGTCAGGAATCTAAAAGCTTCTTCACGCTATCAACTCTTTCTAGTTTTAATAAAAATTCGAAAGGAAAGTACAATGATAGTAATACGCAAAGCTACAAAAATTACAATGAAGATCAGGATCGCGATCACTTGAAGGAAGAACCTTCGGATAGTTACGAAGTTATTAAACGTATCGATTCGGTCGATGAACGGCTTGAAGATTCATTCATCGGAGAAGAATATATTGATGATATTGAAATAAAAGAAAGTATTGGCATCGGTCGAGCTTTAAATGGATCAAACAAATTCAGGATTCACGTGGAGGATTCAAAAAACAATGCGAAAGGTACGAATGAAAATAGTTCTTTGTCTCTAAACTCAAATCGGTATAATTTAACCGAATCGATTGGAAGTAATATAGAATCGATCGATCAGTTGCAAACTGATACGACCGATACTGTAAATTATGCAAGTATTTTAGAAAAAAGTACAACTCCCATGATCGAATATTTATCGCATTTCAAACATGAAAGCAGTAATACAGAAATAGAAGAACCATCGACTACTTTGTCGTACAAAGAAAATATAACGTCAACGGAAACAACGATACCATTAGATACGAAATTATATTCTACGGAAAATCCAGGTGTTTTTAGCAATGACGAATTCAAGAGTGGAACAATTATCGATTCGACTATTTTACAACCTGACATTATTTTAAAACCACCAGTTATTACTGAAGCGAAATTTCGAATAAATGTTCCAGATTATCCCTCTACAAAAACACCCATTTTTCATACGTCGTACAATACAATCTACTCAGAAATGCAAAGTACTACACAAATCCCAATAGATGAACATTTAATTAATGAATCAACGAACGTATCGATACCTTGGTTCCAGCATACTACTGATTTTCCGGCAACAGACATAGAACCTCCGTTCATTGGCTTCAATTTAAAGGATACCATAGACGAGATTGTCACTCAAACTTCTAGATTTGATACGCCTATCAAAACCGGGAATGAAGACGACAAAATTCGAAGAAATTCGAGGCAACAGGAAGAAGCTAAATTCGTTAGCGAGTTGATAGAAATTTCCGGCGGAGAGGATCGAACAAACATTGCGACAAATATAAAATCTATATCAAGTATAGAAGATGCGATCGAATTAAACAAATCCCCATATCAAATATCAGTGACCCTGAATACAAAAAATGAATCGGTACCAATCAAAGATGATTTGATTATTAGTTTAATAAAACAACATGAGAGAAATAATTCTCGTCCCGATAGATTAGGTCAACTCGAAATTGTCAAATCTATCGAGGGGATTACTGATAATCGAAATAACGATTTTCCGTATAACGATAATAATAAAATACCTTTTTTCAAAGATACAATGAATTTATCGAGTAATCAAAAAGAAATAGAAGGCAATGCTGGTTCTGATAAATTAGGTCAAATCGAAATTGTCAAATCTATCGAAGGGGTTACTGACAATCGAAATAGCGATTTACCGTATAACGATAATAATAAAATACCTTTTTTCAAAGATACAATGATTTTATCGAACAATCAAAAAGAAGTAGAAAGCAATGCTAGTACGAGTAACGTAAACAATTTAAGTCTTCTACAGTTAATGGCAGAATTACTTAAAATCGATCATATTCCTCGACCTTTCTCCTTGAATCATCTTCAAGGATTCAAATCAAATTCGGATTCTAATTGGGATCAAAGTGTATTACCTACCACGACAATTAAATCCATTGACGATAGCTTACCAAAAGAGAAAATTATCGAGAATGTTAATTCTAATAACGATAAAAGAAATGTCATGCCACGATTAAGAGATATTTTGGAAGGAACTCCACGAAGTATTACGAAAAATCGAGTCCTAGACGAATTGACCAACAATTTTGATAGACCATTAAACAATGTAGAAAATCGTCTAGCAATTAATAGTCAGCTACCTCAAATACAAAGATCTCTAGATTTTGAGGAGTCTAAGGAATTTAATAACTCTCCGAAAACGTCATTTCGAAAAACGACCAATAACACCGAATCTGTTAAAACCGTTGTGGAAACGGAGTTCCTACCTTCCATAGGATTTTCTTTTGATACCAGTGAAGGTCGAAAAAAATACATCGATGCTATTCTTGATGGTTTATTGGACGAATCGATTCACGAAAGTAACACAAACAAATCACTCAACGTGGAGATGATTGATAAATCATCTTACAACGATTCTCGATCTTCATTGGCTCAAATTTAATTACCTATATATTATTTTGTCAATTCTCCTACTCTCTTCCAAATGTGATATTCAATGGTATTCTTTATTTTTTATTCCTTTTCTTTTTTTAACATCAATTTTATTCCACACACCCACACACACAGACACACACACAGATATATGGATATGTATATATATGGGATGAGAGTGAGTATGCATGTGTATGTGAATTACTTAACTTGAATGTGCGTTTCGAAAAGAAAGAAAAGAATGTATTTTGGCGAGTAAGCTTCGATTATCAAAGAACGGTAGTAAAAGAATAGCTCTAGCGATGAAAGAATATTTTTAAAAAGTTCCAGAGAGTATATCGAGGTGTGTGTGTGTGTGTGTGCGTGTTACTGCGAGAATTTTACTAATTTGTGAGATTTATTTTTCACTTTTATATCTATTAATTATCCCTCACATTAAACTTAATCCTACATCTATATATATATATATATATATTTTTAATATATAAATGTTTATAAAAATAATTTCAAGATTATTCGATAATAGTTCTACATTTGTACATAATTTATATTTGTATAATTTAAATCTATGTAGTTACGATATATAATAACATGTAATTACAAATAAAAATTTTGCATATTTACAAGATAAAATATTTCTATGTATACAATTTCATTCTCTATTTATAAAATTGATCCTATTCCATGAAAATGTAAGTTTGATCAATAACTCAAGAAACATAGTAACCGATAAGTCAACAAGAATTTGGTGAGTTTCTTGTTATAAGATCATCTAATCTCGAGATAGTGTTTTTTTTTATTGATTTAAAGAATTAAATTATATTTCCTAAAAATGTATAATAAAATTCATTTCATAATTTTGCGTAAAATCTAGTTATTTCATGAATTAACTAATTTATACGATTTAACGCCGACATATATTTACATAAATATTAGCATAGAGATTACAAATATATATTAATACTTACAAGAACGAAGTTATCTTAATTCACAGCTATTTTAATTTTATATCATCTGAAATTTGTCAAGGATCACTATGTCGATTAATTTCATTTAAAAAATAAAACAAAGGAGGTAGTGTTTATTACGCGATTTATTACAGTGTTTTATAATAGATTATAAAGTATAATCATTATAACCTTACAAGGAAAAATAATTTCTCTTCAAGAATTGAAAATATTTCTTAAAAATAGGATATAGAAAAATGTCAACGATAATTAGCGAATCTTTCCAAGATAATTTCAAAAAGGAGGATGAAGGAGAAGTTTACGATGCGCAGCCGGATTTTCTAGAATTGGATAGTCGGTAATACTTTTTTTGTAACACCTTACATTAATAAACTAAGAATGATTATATTTACCAAATATTATTTCAATAAAGAATCATCATTTTGCAGTATTATTTGGATTAGAGAACGGGTATTACGATTCTTAGGCTTACCTGGTCACGAACATCTATTTGATAAACTCATACGCGTAATATATATATATTTTTTATATAATTTATCAATTTAAATAGTTATAAAATATATTACATTTGTTTTTCATTCATTTATTAGGCAAACAATGGATATTATGAAGAGAAATTGATGAATTTTTTAAATCATAATTTATATTCAATTACAAATCTCGAAAATAAGATTATTTTCTTTTACAAAACATATTTAAAAGAAATGGTACAAGAAGAAATAGCAGTTTGGGAAAGTAAGTACTATAATTATTATACTTATTAATTAACATATGCAAATGATGTTTCATATAAATTATATCTTAATATACGCACACATTAAGTTAACGTGAAAGAAAAATGAAATAAAGTTAGCGCATTAATACTAGGAAAAGTCGAAAGGACCGATGAAAAGAAAAAAAAGAAAAAAAGGAGGCTAAAAAAAGGTAAAAGTAAAACTAGTACGATAAGAAGTCAAATTGTATTATCTTCTATGAGTTTGGAATCGAGTATAGATTCCTCATCCAGCGAAGAAGAAATAGAAGATGAAGAAGAAGAAAGTTTAGTAAAACCGAGTGGTGATATTACAATGCATTTTATGAGAAAAGGTCGGCCCAAAGATGATAGCATAGGTAATAATACTAATAGATTATTTTTAAACTCATTTTATAAACAAATATATATAAATATTGTTTATAGACATGCAAAAATTTGTTCCACCACTTGGCGAGGAAGATAAATATATCTTAACTAAGGTAATCGAATATTAGAAAAATTTAGTGGTACCTTAAATTGTGCAATAATGAAACTACAAGAAGTATTTCTTTATCTAGAGAATGGTAGACAAAGAAAAGAAAAAACCAATTATTCATATTATATGCGGGGAAATTGATGGACAAACTTTTGATTTTCAAAATGTGAATTTTTTTTACTTTATGAGAATAAACGAAGAAGCAGTTCCACCTTTTGAAACGTACGAAGAATGTCTCGATCAAATGCCAAGCAATTTAATCGTTGGATCTATCAATGGACACTTTTTAGCATCTTTGAATGCATTACTTATCCATGTATTCAAACCTTTAGTTGATAAACAGTTTCGAGGGCCTCATTTTGGAAAATATTATAAAATTGAAGAGTATGGTGACGTACTAGCTACCACGGATATAGCAAAAGCTTCGTCTACCCTAGCTGAGATTGCTGAATCTAAGGTTTATATGATATATATATATCACACATTATAATGTATAGGGTGTAACCCATGTCATTTGAATGAATTTATTTATTTAAAAATAGGCTTCCACCTATAGAAGGCCGTCCGATTTTCGGCGAGTATCTCTTTCGCTTTCAAAAAGATCCCAAGAAACTTCACAAATTATTACAGAAAAAGTGCTAGATGAAATAAATGATTTTCATGACGATACAGAAGAAGAAGGTACATCAATTAAAAAATCCTTAATAGAACGTAGCGCATTAACTATTTCAACTGTCGGAGAGAAGACAGAAGAAGAAACTGAAGCAGAGCAAAGTAAAAAAGATATCTTAGAATATTTAGACAAGCTGTCAGCGAATGTACAATGGTTCATATTATAGATTAAATTATGTCAACATTTTGAATGAATATTTGATACTTACATTTTTGTATTTAATATTTCTAGGACTTTACAGAATATAGAAAGTGATATTTTATTGACAATACCAAAAATTCCTGAATTAGAAAGTTCTACTCTGCCGGATGAAGTTTTATTAAATAATAAATATATCATTGACCAATTGGAAGAGATAATCATGTCTTGGGAAATGCATATACAGCAAGTATATATTTTATTAATTAAACAAATATCAAACAATCTTTATTTATTTATTTATTTAATATCAATGTAAACACACGAACATATTAATTTGAGGTATTAGAATTATACATTAATAAGTCACCTGAAGGTAAAGGACCAATTACTGAATATCATTATTGGCATGAACGTGAGACGGGATTGTCAATTCTTGTTGAACAATTAAAAATTCCTATTATTCAGAGAATGCTCAAATTATTGAATACAATTTTATCGCCTATACCTATAGCTTTCAATCATTTTAAAAATGAACTTTGGAAACATTATAATGAAGCTCGAGATAATACCAAATTTCTCTTTACCATTATGAGACATTTCAAGGTAAAATAGAATTTGATCTTTTTCAACAACTTTCTATAACTTAATTAACTTATATATCGTATGTGGTGTAATTATTTTTTAAAAATATACAATTTAATATTAATAGTTGATAAGTCACACAGACAAATTCAAGCAAATTAACAGCGTTATTCCCTCCTTGTTAAATGGATTGAAAATGATTTGGATATTATCATCTTATTATTCTTCCGAAGACAAAATGATGTCTTTATTTGAAAGAATTTCGTGGCAACTTTGTCAAAACATCAGAACAAATTTATCAATTGACAAGTTATTCAAGTACGTTAGTTAATTCATTTTGTCATTTTTTCACGGTATCATTAAATGATATATATTAAATAATTGTAATAATATTTTTAGTTATCCACTGGAAATTGTTTTAAAAAAATCTAAAGATGCTCACGAAATGATGAAAAGTTGGAAAATATCGTATTTGAAAACGAGAGATGATATTGAGGATACAGGAAAAGGTGCACGTTGGGAATTTGATCAAAAACGTCTTTTTCGAGAAACAGAATACATAGCGGATGTTTGCAAGGATATTAATGTTGTAGCCAATGTTCTTCAAGATTTTTATAATATATTTGGAACCGATTTGAAATCAATCATTTACGAACCAGCACATATCGATACGATTATAAAACGAGTTGGATTATTGTTGGAGCCATTTAAATTGGCCGAATTCGATGTCTTCAGTCCGTTCAACAAAGAAAATTGGGAAGCAACAATATTGCGTTTCAATGCAGAAGTTTCTTATTTAGAAAATGATGCCAAATTTTTTATTGACGAATGTTTTAAAGTTCTCATCAGCGCAAAAGATGCACTCGAGATGCTTTTCAAATTCAAGGATAGAAAAACTAGAGTTGCCATAAGGGAAATATTATCTAGTAAATTTGAAATTACTATGCAACAATTCAATAAAGAAATAGGCTCTGTGGAAAATATATACAACAGAGGTGAGACACCTTGAATTTTGTATTCAAATAAAGTAATAATAAGAATATAACGTATTAATATATATATTTTCAGGTAAACGAAATCCTCCTTTACTGATGTACCATCCACCAATAGCAGGCGCAATTTTTTGGGCAAGACAATTGTTTTATTGTCTCAAAGGATCTGTCTTATACTTTCAAGACATACAGGAATTAAAACATAACGAATTGAAGCTTATGGGTTTCAGTCAATATCTTGATATAGGTAAACAATTGAAAACTTTTGAAGAAATTAAGTTCAATTCATGGATTGACAAAGCTCAAGAAGCCATTACAAGCATTATGAAGAGTAATCTGCTCAAAGTAGTACCAATAGAAGACGAGTATGAAGAAGGTTTTAAAAAATTAATTCTCTTAATATTGTCAAAATTTGTCAAATCATTTCTTAATCGTCATATCTGCAATCATATTGTTTTCAGACGAACGTAAATTAAAAAATGGTGCCATTTTTCGTACATATAAAAGATTAAAAGGGAAGGAACAGATGGTAATGCCTGTTGGAATTTTACACAAAATAGACCAGTTATTATTAAAACCAAGCATTGGTAAAATCTTAATAATATCTCAATCACTTTGCACGCAATTATATTTAAATTGAATATTTTTCAACGCACGTTTCTTCCTCTTACTCTTGTATTTTTGTTGTTGTGCTACAATAATAATTTGTTATTACAGATACTCTCAGTTCGATTGGTGGTTCTAAAGCGATGTCAATCAAAGGAGGTAGTAGATCGATTCATTCGCAAAAAGGTCAAAAAATGACTTCTGCTATTTCCTTGCAAAACAAACAAATCGCTATTATTCAAAAACAAAAG